CTGTTGGACCTGACCTACGCCGGCGCGGCCCCCGACACGCCCCCCGTGCTGCTCGCAGCCAAGGGCGTCACCTTCGACTCGTCAGTTCCACCTTGTCTTTATCCCGATACTAATCATTGAAAGTTATCATAGATTGTATCCGTTTTTTTGCCAATTAATAGGTTAAGACTGAACATGGCAGATATGAAGTCAATAAATGTGTTTCTCTCCCTTTTTTTCAAATTTATTATCGTTTATTAAGGTTATAATACTTTAAATGAATGCTTTATTTGTCGTGTAGCGGCGGGCTGTGCCTAAAGCCGCCGGAGCTGATGTGCGAGAACCGCGGCAGCATGGCGGGCGCGGCCGTGGTGCTCGCCGCCATTAAAGCTATCGCTGAACTCAAGGTTACACTCCACTAAGTTTAAACATTGATTGGTCAACTTTTCAGGATTATTGTTTAGATCATTTAATTCAAATTTCAAATAAATTATTTGTCAGCTGACTAAAGATTATCCATATACACCTTCTTATGTAAGTTGTGTATTTGATTTATTCTTTAGAAAACAAGTCTTGCCTTATTTCATTACAAAATGTAAATAATTAATAGGTAATATACTTTAACTCTGCCACACAAAATACGTAATTCATGTGTAACAAATGGTGATATACCAGATCCCAATCAACGTCCGCGCAGTGATCCCTTTGTGCGAGAACTTAGTGAGCGGGCAGTGCATGAAGGTGGGCGACGTGGTGCGCGCGCTCAACGGCACCTCCATACAGGTCATCTACATTATATACTAAATACGAGCTTAAAATAATATATACCATTCCTATAATACTTTAGGAAACCGTTCATCAATAACGGCCGAACCGTTTAATTATAAATTTATATTATTACTAGCATTCGCCCGCGTGGAATTAAAAAAAAAGTAAGTAGCCTATGTGTTTTTCCAGCCAGACTATCCTCTACATCTATGCCAAATTTCATCGACATCCGTTTAGACTACAAACTCTTAACAAACAACCTACAATTCCGCTTTTATAAGTAAGATTCAAATGAGAAAATAATCGTAACTACTTAACCGGGTAACCATTAACGACTGTATCAAGAAATCGACAGCCATAGTTTATATTGTTGCTTTTAAGTATGCATAAAACTATAAATGATGTGGTTGCAGGATAGGGCACGGTTGCATAAACGCCCAAGATACCATTCACCGAATTATTTCATACTTTTTTTCTTTTTAAATACCATAAATTGACATAGATTACGGAAAAAAAGACTTTTATTTTAAAATAGGTAATTGCGTAAGACTGATGTATAAATACATCATCATGCAAGGGTTAAGTCCTCTCTAGTCAATAATAAAGATGGCGTGGTAGGAGTGTCGTTGGCAGAGGTAGTTGTGTGCAGATCGAGGACACGGACATGGAGGGGCGGCTGCTGCTGGCCGACGCGCTGGTGTACGGGCAGGCCGCCTGCCGCCCCGCGCTCGTGCTCGACGTCGCCACGCTCACACGTCAGTGCTCATACTTGCAGCCGTACAACTGTGCGATTGTTTCGTAGATAATTCAATCTGTTTAGTTGCACAACTAAACATCGAGTAATGTACGCACTTCCATATAAGCTCATAGGAATCAAAGAGAAACTAAACAGTTGTGAGAGAGCTTAATCAAAGGTGTGCTCTTACAAGCAAAATGAAAATCTACAAAATTTACTAGAATGTAATAAAAACTGCTACGATATTGAGTGATATAGAAAGGTGTTTTAGTTACTTTTATTTTGGAAAGATAACGTTTTTTCTACAAATCAGCTAACGGAGCTTTGCATCTGGTATGGGGCGTTTTCTAAATAGTTTTTAATATCCGACATTTTTTATACTTTAGTAGGGTATGTTACCCATGTAAATAGATATAGTTAGTATGTCAGTGTGTGTGCAGGCGGCGTGCTGCTGGCGACGGGCGGCGGCGCGTTCGGCTGCTTCAGCAACGCGGAGGGCGCGTGGCGCGCGCTGCGGGCGGCCGGCGCGCGCAGCGGGGACCGCCCCTGGCGTTTCCCGCTCTGGAACTACTACCACGCGCAGATCACAGGCAGGCCGTTCACTGCTCCCTTAGTTTTTTTTTATATTTATAAGTGTACTAATTACTAACTGTTCATTTTCAGATGACCCCTCAGTAGATCTGAGGAATAAAGGATCTGGTAAAGCTACTCCTTGTCTCGGCGCAGCCTTTCTAAGAGTAAATTCCGTTTATACTTTTGAAATATAATTTTTGTTGTAGCGAATAGATATTAAGATATGTTGATAGAACTTCGTATGCGGAGACTGGGTGCACATGGACGTGACGGGGGTGGGCAAGTTGCCGCACGCCGCCGCGCCGCCCTACCTGCGCCGTCGCCGCATGAGCGGCCGCCCCGCGCGCACCCTCGCATACTTCCTGGCGGATCTGCCCGCCGCCCCCGCCCCCGACACAACACAACACTAACCTAACATGTACAAAGATTACTTATCCGTACTCCAATATTACCAACATGAGCACAAACTTTATTAACTTGTGCAGCAACGTCCCACTCTTGTACTGTACCTCACTCGAGCATCAACATAACCTAACATTCTTACAACGGTTTTACTTAAATTAAATTACTATTTGACCGATATTTACTAGTTTAGAATGCAAAACAATTGGTAAATAACCAAACCGTCTATTTTTACAACCCATTATGTAAAGTAATTTAATAAGTATGTTTATAAATCAATTTTCGTGTTTTATATGACAGTAAAGAATACAAAACAATTACGTGCTTTTTTTCTTAACTGCATTTTTTATGCAAAATTATGAGCAGTATAGAAATGGTTTAACATTGTCGTGTAATGATGCGATAAACGATTAATTAGTCAAGTCTGTAATTACATCACTCGATGACTTCAGCGTATTTATAGAGCTGACATATTTTTAGCGAGCCCATTATCAGAGTGATTCATGCGCCTTATACAGGGTTGTTTAGTCACTACACTGTAAACATGTCATTACCTAAATATACATAATCAAGGTCTTTTTAGTAGCAAACGCCCACTTCAGAGGCCTAATACTAAGAATTAGCAATTAGATAAAAAAAATGTTTAGGCATGAGCCGCGCCTCTATCAGGAATTAAGTAGTGACAAATATTACATTTTATTGTTGCGAATACTTTTTACAAAACTTTCGTGGTACCCTTGATTTCGATAAAATAGTAAAATGAGCACTGACCGGACATTTTAACAGTTCCAACGGTTGCTAATGCATTGTTTACCTAAAATTATGATATATTTTATGTAGGAGTACACCGTTGATGAAAATGGTCGGTTAAGTCATTTGAGGCCAACCATCACAACCCATGGGGTTTTACAATTTCGGAATAATCAAAATCTGTCATCTATTATCAGTATGAAAAAATAACAATGTTTGTGTGTTTGCTACAATTAGAGTAAAACTAGAAAAAAAATCCTTAATCTACATAATTTACTATTGAATCATATTTGTATATGTAGTGCCATTTTTGTTTACAACTTTTTTAGTAATTAAAGTGAAAGATGCACTTTTCACACAATTATTTAAATTGTACATAATTTGATTTACATTTCAACAATGAAGTAGTGTCTAAATTACTATACATATACAGCCTTACAAATAAACGTGGTATAATAGTATAATAGTAACTTAGGAAAAATCAGAGTGTAAGCAAATATCAGTACAAATTTTGCTTTTACAAGTTTATTCCTAAGTTTAACTTTATACTGCGTTTATTTGTAAAGCTGATAAAGGTTTAGTTTACAATCTCGTGTGACACTAAAGGGTTACACGTCTAGTGCAGGAAGGGTAGACAGAAATGAAACACTGATACTTATTGACCTAAAAATGAAGAAACATTTATTTTCAGTATGTCTTTTGTAAAATTTAATAACAGAATGAGTCAAATGTGGTAAGAGTTAACAGAGCGGAGACTTCCATTCGATAGAATTACTTTCACCAACAATAGAAATATAATATTTATCAAGTAATTACCAATAAATCTAATTTATTCGTTTACTGAGACAGTTAAATTTAAACATTCATGATCAATGTACAGGGAGCGACGCGCGATGCGCGTCACTACGGCCAAAGAATAATATAATTTTTTTTTGGATTTTCGATTTTAATCATCACGTACTTTATAAATATCTCATACTTGAAAAAAATTTACATTAAATTGTATCGGAAAGTGCGGACGCTAGCACCGCAAAGAGCCGGGCGCGACGCAACACGCACGCACGCACACATACATAATTAATTATACACGCCGAGGACGCGACGCGCCGCCGACGGAAATATACACAAATATAAATTATGAGCCGACACGAACCCGAGATATACCACCGCGGCGCGAGCAGACCGCGGCAGACCGCGGCAGACCGCGGCAGGCCGCAGCAGGCCGCAGCAGGCCGCAGCAGACCGCGCGCCGCGCACGACCACCAGCTTACAGTTACATTAACGGAATACTTTAAGTCTAAGAGAGGGGCGCGCGGGGCGGACACCGGCCGCGCCCGCGCCCGCGCCGCTACAACACGATACGATTATACCATTAAACTGAAACGATGACAATATTTAATTTATCGCAAACACTAGAGAAATGCAGGTCCAATAACGATGGTAATATTGTGTGTCATGAAACAAAATGTATATTTAAATTCTCTGCTTTTTACACACACACTAACCGGCGGCTCACTTCGACGTCATCATGGTGACGAATTCTGCAAACAAACAGAAAACAGTGGATTAGAGTGCGTTTATAACGTCATTTCTCCCTCGCAAACGTGTCTAAGTATACGTGAGAACAGTAATGTTGACACAAAACACTAGTAACCGACAGAGAGATAGAGAGAGAGATGCACTATTGAACAGATATACCTGTTAGACAGAGCGACCACTAGGTTATGTATAACGCGCCGAGCAGACGCCTGCGCGCAGGGCGAGGCGGCTGCTCGGCGCCACACCGACACAGAGACCAAAGAAACCGTCGTCATGCCACTACAAGGGTTGAGGCGAAATACCACCCCCCGCGTGTTGAGGGCGCGCTGACGTTTGCTGCTCGTTAGTCAGGAAACACAAAGCTATGTACAACAATATGGAGAGCGAGGCGGTAAGAGCAAGCGGGAGATCGCCAGGTGGTATTTCAGTACTTCTATACAGATATTAGACACATGCACCAATCCACAGGAGGAGCTCCTGCGGATGGAGCGGGCGCAACGCGTCGCGACCGCCTTGCGCCTTGCGCCCGCTCGGGAAGAGAAAGACGAGAGTTGAACGGTGACCGAAAGGGTGTGAGAAGAGGTGACCGAAGTGGGGTGGATCGGAGGGGGCGCTAACATGTCCAAGGAACAGTTAATAACGAGCAGCAAACCATTCAGAAACACTGTCAGTACCTAGTGGTGACCGCGCTCGACGTGGGCCTTTACACTACTAGGGGAAACGTTTCGAGATCACAGCGCTATCGCAGAGTCTTTTCTTATTGTTAGTTAAGGTACTAGGACAGCGCGCGGCCGCCGCCGCGGGCTAGCGGCTGCCGTCGCCGCGCGCGAATATCATTTGCGCGAGGGCGTGGAAGTCTGCAAGAGAAACGCGCGGTCGGTTGAGACTGGCAGTGGCACTGGCCGGGTCGCCTCGCCTCGTCTGGCGTCGCCGCTCGCTGCTCGCCGCGTCTAACACCACATTGTGTATAATACGAGTTCAAAATTTACGATTAGGTACAGTCCAACGACATTTCTTAAACACCGGGTGTCAAATCTCATTAAAAGTTCGAGGTGCTTACTAGTATGTATTTAAAACATCCTAATTTTGAAATCGTAAATTTAATAAGTGTAAATATTTTTATAGGGTGTTTGATGGAAGCGAGCTGGCGACAGCGCGCGCGGCGAATGCAATTTGTTAGAGAAATGAAACTGTTACATCTATAACAGGTTGCGGAGCATTCTGTAGGAACTACGCTATACACGCCTCACCCGGACTTGCATGCATGCATGACACCATCACCAGATGCCCCTGCCCCTGGCCCGTTTGATCTATTTCACATGGACATTTTATATACGCATGCAAAGCTATGGATTGCCCTCTCCTTCTGTCTACAGCACAAAAGATAAAATACGTTGTAATGTAGCCTAGACGATAAAACCGACACCAATAACTTCTGCTATGTTGTGGAAATTCTTCACTTATAAAATTTAGAGCGCAATAGAAAACTAGGCTTTCGCTTACTTGTGGAGAAGCGAAAAGTGGTCGGGGGCCGGTTTGAAAGTAAGACGTCGCTATCTCTGCGACCGTGCATATCATATTTAATTTGCCAGATAATTTACTACACATATCTGTTGTGCTTTTGCGCTTGTGACAATGACGAGGGCTAATAGTATAATACTGGCCAAACATTGATACGACAAACAGAACAATTTGCGTAAATTGTCCGCAACTAATTCCACTACCGGTATTATGGTCTTGTCAAGTTTGATCAAGATTACGTTAGCCTTGACGGCGACTTTGCCCAATTCCTAAATTGCTTCTGCACATTGTTGCTTATTTACATAAAATGATGTAGTTACACGACCGAACATCCGCAAAAAACTATTCTATGCAGAAATCTTTTTGGTAAATACCAAGTATAAGTCTTCGATTGTTTTATGCATCTATGGCACATATATCATGAAACAAATATTGCAATTAATTTTCTATGACCTATAATTGTCTCATAATTATTAGTTCCTACACAGAGTAAAATAACATCGGCCATATGTTCTATTGTTAACTATTTCATGTTCACTAACATTCATTATTCTAAGAACAACACTATGCCACATATGGCTGCCAAAAGACGTAAACACGTAAAACAACAAAATAAGGTTGATTGATGAATTTTTGGTGTGTGCAAGAGCTTAAAATAACTTTGCTGATATAATTCAGTTGTATTTCTTTTTTGCTTAAACCGAAAAGTGACGAGTTATCCATCAGCAAAGTACTTTAAACCCTGACATGACGTGAAGGGCTAGAAATTGTGCAAAGAAGGGAGTATCGATGTGTATCGTTTGTGTCATGTGTACATCATGTGTGTAACGTATACACTCACCCTCGTAATTGACCTGTCCGTCGCCGTCGATGTCAGCCTCGCGGATCATCTCGTCGACTTCCTCGTCCGTGAGCTTCTCGCCAAGGTTGGTCATCACGTGACGCAGCTCGGCGGCCGAGATGAACCCATTGCCGTCCTTATCGAAGACGCGGAACGCCTCGCGGATCTCCTCCTCACTGTCGGTATCCTTCATCTTGCGCGCCATCATCGTCAGGAACTCGGGGAAGTCTATCGTGCCGTTGCCTGGAAATCGATAAATACACAGCGTTAATAAATTGTATAGGTACATCGTTGATGGCATTTATAGCTTCTGATACATTCAACATTCTTGGTAAACTTTCTTAATTACTTTATAGTCGCTAAACATTAAAACCTTAGTTATCAGTTATATGTATTCGTTCTCTTCTGTAGTAAATTGCGCTCTAACCACATACAAAGATAACAAAGCACAGAAAATCGTAGGAATTGTAACAAGAGATATGTAGTAATAAATCGTAAGATTTTCTGCTCACAAACAGTGACATGTGCGCGGGTGAAATTTTCCAGGTGCGAGCGCCGCTTCCCAGAATAATGGACGCCTTCAAAAGAAACGGCGTGTTTACATCAGCATCAAAGATGAGACGCCGGCAAAGAGGACCGACATTTATAGCTACACCGCATACTCCCCTCCCCTCCCCCTGACTCTTGTAACAATACCACAAATCTCATTTTTAAACAGTTAAAACATATTTCATTGATACAATAAGTACAAGGTTATCTAGTAAATACAACCATCGAGGTGCAATGGCGAATACTCAATGAAACTAAAACAATAAATAAATACAATGACGTTAAATCGATTGGTTGCGACTCACGAACACGATTATTATGATGTTCAATGTATTATTCACGATCATAATCAGAACAACATATTTCAGAATCATGCTTAATAGAAAAAAGTAAAGTAACGTTTTTCCCTTTACAACAATGCCAAGAAATTACAAATATAATGTTCTGCTTTTATTACAATTATACTCAAATATTTTCACGTTATTTGGTATCTATATGGATTTTTTTATAGAGTTAATTAATTCAGAACAGTAAACGAAATTCGATGAGCTTAATTATCATCCTCAATACTCATCGTAATATCTTATGCACATCTATAAAATTGATCGGTTATGAGAACGAAGGGCAAATCACCGTTGACAAACACCAGTGGAGTCTTGGACAGATCCACGGGCGTAAACAATTCACAATAATATGCATTCGCTCCAAATTAGTTTTCCGCAAACACAGGCAACGGCCAAAACCGTAAAATGTTACGAGCCGCGCTATCGTGTCACCGGCTAAAAGATTTACGCCTTCTCTTAAACGTTTTATTGTTGCCATTTATAATTCACTGTCGTCTTATTTTAGTTAAATAATACTTTATCTTAATAATAATTTTACTATAATCAAATTAGTTTACAAAATACTGCTAACAATTTGGTCTTATCGGTTGACAAAAGGTTCGTAAAAATGCTCTTTACGCCAAAATAAGATCAAAGCACCACAACATATCAATTTAGCATCTGTTGTATGAGCTTCCTCATCGAGATATGATATAGAGGTGAACGCACCTCGGATGCGATGCAAAAATAAGTGCGGGTTAAGTTTGTCCGATCTAAATCGGGCGCAACCTTTCGCAGCCGCTATTTATACGTGTGCGGTCGTGCCGGGGCGCTGGGCTGGCCCACTTGCCACCGCTGACCACCTGGGTACTGCCACTCCGCAGCTGCCAGACCTCGTGCATGGCCTATTGTTAGAAGATACATGTCAACTAGTTTTTAGTACCTTCGATATTTAAGTATGTAACTATTTCCGATATCTCATTGACAATTTCAATACATAAACGCTTGTACATAACAAGATTCAAGGCAACGGACACGTCCTTGACATTACGATACTCTTGTATAGTTATTGTTGTATGTTTTCAACAAACTAATGTTTATTTATTCAAGTTTGAAATTTAATAAATCATAGTCGTAACAAAGAGCTATTCAAACTATCGACACACTGCATGTGCCTTGAACTTCAACCAAGAAACTCTCCATACTTTATTTTTGCACACCACAGCGCGGGCGTCGAGTCGACTGCGAATCAAACCAGTTCCAATTCCAAACAACACATTGTTCAGATATCTAGTCAAAAGCCCAAACAACTAGTTTTAATCGAATCGTTGAATGATAAACTATAGAAAAACCAGCTTCGCCTTTTCCACTCTTACGTTTATAAATTTCAAGGAACCAGTCTTCTGGTAAACACTATGATAATCATAGCGGTGGGTAATGTAACTAGTTCTTAATCGATTACTTCTCAGTAGAGCTTCAAAAGGCCTCTAATAATACACTCGGGCCGCCGAATTAAGTGCGGTAATAATAGCATCGCGTCATGCTGACCGCCAGTTACCGGCAGCTTGCTTGCCGAGTTCTGCACACCTCAGCTGATACAATGTTAAACATTGTTGGTTAAATATAGGCCACTCCCTGTGCCGGATGCATTCGATGTTGAATCTTAATATGCAACGTATTTAACATTTCAATCTACAAAGTTTATTTCAAAACATGTCGACTTCTGTTTTCTCTAATCAATAAAACGGTTACAAATTTATTAGCAAAACATCTTGGTAATGTGAAAATACTTTCAAATTTGTGCGGAAAACTGGTTTGTTTGATTCTTTATAATCTCTTGTTAGTGAGATATGATTCACGGGTCATGCCTCTAGTGTGGCAACGACCGGGCGGCAGGCAAGCTTTGGTCTTGCGTTGTCGGCTGCTATTCCACCACCCACACTTAAATAACACACCACGAGAACATAACTTGAAAATATTGTAAACATAAGGATTTTACGTTCTTATTTGTTTTCCTAATTTTGAATGTAAACCAAGTTTACTAGTAATCGAAGTATATGAATCAGTTTAAAGTGAATTTTGCACCAGTTTAGATGTGGGAATCATGTAGTCAATCTGAGTCACAATAACAGAAGGCCAATCAATTATCACACGGAGCGGGCCTCCTGCTCCTGCGCGCTATGACATCATCTCACGCTTACTAATTCACTCACATCGAAACCATTTAATGCTAAAACAATACTCTGACAAGACAGATAAAACATGGTTTAAACTTGCTTCTTAACTGTATAACAAAAAGTATGTGCCATTCTTATTTTTTGTTAGCTATTTTATGTTCATACAAGATATATTGGAAATAGAATACGTAGACTTATATCTTGTGAAGGGCAAAAAATTAAGCTTGATCTCAAAAGCCTCCCTTTGCGTCAAGGGCCTTGGATGTAATTGGATAGTGACCGTGAAGGCATCGGGTGTAGGCGAAGCCATACGTTGTAGGTTGTCACGACAATACGCTGAATACGTACTTTTTTCAACCCATTTAATGACGAGAATATATTTTAAAATGGGAGAATATAACATGAATGATTTTACACAACATAAGCTTTTTTTATTCATTAAATGTTCACTATCCCATAGTCATTAGTAAAGCCTAACTGGCATGAAATCAATTAGCACTAGAGCAGTTACATAAACTTCCTTATTCTGTATTTAACAAGGTCTGTTAGCGCGCAGGTCATTTACACAAAAACTAAACCAATTGTCTAATTGTTTCCTGTAGTATTTGTTGATATAAAATCTAAGACAAAAAGGACAATAGAATCTAGGATTCATGTTTATCAAGGTAAATATGTAACCTTATAATGGAACAATGAATAACATTCAATACTAACTGTTACGTGCGTCTACATCCGCGTGTAATTAAGAAAAAGAGTAAGTTATACGCTATAACAGACTAAACCTTTCCAAACTTCATTCGTTCATTCTAGAGTCAGGTAGTAACAAGAACATTTACATCAGAGGCTCAATTTCAAAGTGAACGAGCAAGAATGTTAGGATCCGAAGTCCGATGTTCGGTAAAGAGTACAAATTGCTTGTCAGCGGTCGGAGCGGATATTTACAATCGATCTCAATCGACGCGGCCCGCAATAGACTTGGCGCAGGCAAAAACACTGGTGAAACCCACTCAGTGTATACCCACTATATATGTTACTTAAATAATTATAAAACTCAAAACAAGCAAATTCGCGATGTAATGGGTTTTACGAAAAGAGACAAGCCAAAACACATCTAATTAAATAAATAAAAAAAATGCAAAAGCAATAGTAACAACAAAAACACCATTACCGAGGATAAAGTAAATAATTGTGTTGTGGGTGCAAACGAAATGCCAGCGCCCACGCGGCGTTACTTTGTGCGGAAGATATCGCGACAGCTTGCCAACTCGGTTACTACGAGATCATAAACATATTGATATCAATCATATGTAATACGAAGACCCTTATCAGAACTGATTTTCTTTTAATTTGGACTCTAGTTTGCTACTTTAAAACTGGGATACAATCAGCAAATTATGGATTCAATGACTTAAAACAATTTCCCTACTTCATAACCATGTCATACACTCGTCGGTAATTATAGTTATGCGTGGTAGACTAGTTAGATTGGACTTAATTTCTCTCACCAATATCCGTGGTCGCAACAAATATCTACCTACCGTCAATTGTACATATATACATAGTACCGTGCACCAAGCAGCTAGACAAACGCACTGGCATTCAGCCAAATAAATATGCAAACTCATTTGTAGCCAGTACGACACGGCAGCCGCTGTCAACGCCCCGCAAACCTGTTCCCAGTATCAATGTGATTTATTTTCACACTACACGTACATTTAGTTACGTCAAAAACGACAACAAAAGTTATTCGTACTACTTAACCGAACGAGTTGGTACGTTTCTAATAATAGTCAAATTCCCGTAACAGAATCTAATGTGTGACTTATAATTTGATTACTAATTAAAGCTTCAGTATATAAGAACAAACTTCTTTAAACAACCACTTTCAGTCTTTCATGGTTCTATGACGCTACATTTTCCATTCCTTTTCTATTTTACGACTAAAATTATATTCAAACATGTTACGTATAAATTCTAAATTTTTGTGGACACAAAAACGTATATACTGGTAAATTTAACCGATGATATAAATATATGCCAATACACATATAATAGGATTGTATGTTTATTAGCACAGAAACATTCCGTCAGTTTTTCCGCTCTAGTATCTTTCGACCACACAATAAATACAAATTTTTAAATCCTTGGCATACTGAATCATATTTTTATCCTACAATTCCTTTAATTATAAAAT